AAAAAATTTAAATTTAAAAAAAAAAAAAAAAAGAAAGTGGGCTTGATCGGTGGTGGCTCCAGGTGTTGTGGTGCCAGGTATACTGGTTGTTGAGCAGCTTGCTGATCTCAGGGCCAAGGCCGCATCACCTTCCAGATTCCCCTCTGCTGGGCACCTGGGCTCGCAGAGCGAGGCTGCTGCAAAGGGCTTTGCTGGGATCGAGAGCTCGAGCCTGCGGCTGATGGAGGAGTGGGTGAAGCGGCATGAGCGCCAGCAACAGGACTGGGACTTCGGTGAGGGGGGTGGAAGCGATGAATAAGTCTTCGCCTTACCCTCCTTTGCGCACTCACATTGGGCTGCAGGAACCCCTTCTTTGACTTCCAGCCAGTCAAATTTCTCCTTTAGCTACTCGACTGAAGGACTGTGAACTGCAGTCTGGTACTTCCAGTCAGCGGAGTTGTCCCATCCAGTTGATCCCTTCCCCTTCTTTTGCGCTGCGGAAGATGGACCCTAGAGCGGAATTAACAACAGCTCCTCTTCGGCAGGCTTAGGGGTACTTCTACGCTGAGGGATCGGTTCCGATTGATAGAGGTCCGCCAGGATGGTGGTTCCCTCTTGAGGCATTAACTTCCCTGGCTGGATTATCCTGCTTTTTGGCCGGGCCCCCGTCATCAGACCCTCTTCGGTGGCTGGAGCAGCTGCTTGCACTCCGATGGCCAAATCCCCACTGCGACCAGCAGCGGATTCCTCTTTTTTCTCCATAGCGAGATCTTCACTGAGTCTTCGCTGTCCTCCCAAAGTGGTGGGTAGGCAGCCAGGGCTCAGCACCCCAAGAAAGAGAACATTTTGAATGAGACTTGGTTTAATGTCAAGGTTCCGATAGAGAAGACCAAACAAATCAGAACTCTTGAGGCTTGAAATTTCTTCAAAGAACATGTTTATTGGTTACGTAGTATCGGCATGGTCAAAAGTGAAACCAAGTCTGAAATCCCCTTCAAAGAGAGACAATATTACAAAGTTGAACTTCCCACCCCAATGCTATGCAATCAGCTATGTTCCCCAATAGAACAGTTTGGCGGGCTTTCTAACCAAATGCTCACGCCCCCCATCTAACAGACAGAAATGACCTTGGTTCCCACGGGACAGTAAAATGTTTAGACTAGTAGAAATCCTCCACACCCCTCCCATTCTTTTGGCAACCTAGAACGAGCATCATGGCTGCAGCCAGGTTCGTTGTAGAGTTGACACTTAGTTCATTTTAAGCGTTAGCTTTCTCAACTTCATCTTTGAATGCTCGGGCTATTTGCTGATATTCTGCCTTAGTTATGTGCCCCTCTTTCCCCTTTTTATAGTTGTCCTTTTTGTCTTTCAATTTATCAGAGAGTTCTTTACAGTATGCAGCCATGCTGGTTTCTTTTGAGAGCTATTACTTTTCTTCTTCATTGGAATTGTGCTAGACTGGGCTTTTATAATCTCACTTTTCAAAATTTCCCAAGCTTCTTGGGTTGTTTTCCTCTTGAGGATTCTCATCCATGGAATCCTTCCCAACCTCTCTCTAAGTTTACTGAGATCAGCTCTCTTAAAGTCCAAGACTCTAGTTTGACTATGTTCTATTGGTTGTGCTTGCATAATGTTGAATTCCAATATTGCATGATCACTCCCCCCCAGGTTCCTAAAACTTCAACACCTTCTATCATTTCATCTCAGTGAGAATGAAATCCAATATGGCTGACACCCCCCTAGTTCCATTCTCTACTTTTTGGGAGACAAAGTTGTCTGCTAGGTTTGTCAGGAACCTGTTTGATCTTCCACTTGGTGCAGAGTTTGTCTCCCAGTTGATGTCAGGGTAATTAAAGTCCCCCATTACTATTGTGATGTGCTTTCTACATACCTTAGTTAACTGACTAGCAAAAAGTTCATCTATTTCCTCTATTTGGTTGGGTAGCCTATAGTATACACCTATGGCAATGTCATTTTTCCCCCTTTTATATTGACCCAAATGCATTCAAGACAGTTTTCATCATTGTTCTGCTCTATTTCTGTAACAATCTCTACATCTACATCTCTAACTAAGAAATATTTTGAGCTGTCAGAAGGTTTTCTCTAAAAACAGGAAATATTTCCTGGATATTACTTACCTGAGTATGTTAAATAGATAACGCTCAGGAATACAATTGCAGCAGCCAATGATATACCTAAGAAGAATAACGCCTGAAATTCTTGCTTTGTTAGTTTGTCTCTCAAATACTGCAGGAAAGCATAGGCTTGCAAAAGAGCAAACACACCTGTTAAAATGAATAGAAACAGTTCTTTGTTTAACAAACAGTCCTTGCTGTAAACAAATACTAATTTTAAGTAATTTTTCACATCATACACATTTCTTTTACTTATTCTATATATTTACAGATACATGGATTTCTATGTATGTTGTCATATGTACGATCATTTATTTGCCTGATGTACATATGTTCGTACTCTATGATAACCTTTTAGTCTTTCTGTAGCTGTTATTTTTTCCCTATTGGATATTCATTTTTCTTTCTTTTTATTACTCCATTCATGTATGTGTTGATTCATTTTTATTTTTACTCTTAATTTTACTTTTTCAGCTACTGATTTCCATGCAATATGTTGAACTGAATCTGAAAGAGCCTAATTAAAATGCCTTTTGGTCAAATTACAGTCCTGAATTATAATAATAAAAACATCAAATTCTGAATCATTTCTACAGTATTAACAAGAAATATTAACAATATTTATGCTGATAAACTTGTTTATATGGATAACTTGTGTATTTTGGAAAGTTCTCCCTCTAATTGAAGAATGACACACATAAATTAAGCAATCAGTCCTACTGGATCAGGCCAATACAAGTAGTCCTTTATTTATGACCACAATTGAGCCAGGAATTTTGATCCTAAATTGCTGTGGTTGTTAAGTGAGACACCCACGTGACTGCCTTGTTCAACAACCACAATCCCAGCTCACCCTGTTGCGGTTGTCAAGAAAGGTATTTCTCAAGGATGCCAGTGAAGTTCCTGTTCCTGGTCAGGTTTGAGGAAGATTGCCTTTGCTAGCTTTCTAGCTGAGACTTGCATGGGCTGGGTGAGCCTGGCAGCAGCTGCAGGGAAAGGTAAGTGGACCCCACTGTGATGGGGCAGGGAGAAGGCCAGGCCACTCAGGAGTGTTGAGGGGAGGGAGGAGGCCTGGGTGTTGCTAGGCCTAGCTAGCTGAGGCCTTCCAGGTTTGGTGGGGCAAGGAGAAGGCCAGGTGGGGGGGGAGCGGCAGTGCTCCCACAATTGTAAGGGTGGGCACGCTGCCAAGCACCCAAATTTTGATCCTGTGAGCACGGGGGCACTGCAATGGTTGGAACATTGGGAAGGTGTTGTAAGTCCCTTCGTTCAGTGTTGTAATTTCAAACGGTCGCTGAACAATTGTAAGTTGTGGCCTACCTATAGTCCATCTAGCCAGCATTCTACATCACTCATTAGCCAACCAGATGCATCCAGCAAACTCAGAAAGACTGATAGAAGGGTAAGGTCTTATTTCAGTGTTGCTTTGTGGCAGCTGGCATTTTAGGCATATTATCTGATTTTTTTATATAGTCCTTAAGTTTTGTAGACATTGGTGGCCTGATCCTCCATGCATATGCCCCATCTCCCTTCTTCTAAACTGGTAGCCATCACTATATCAATGGCAGTAAATTCCATAGCTGTTATTCATTTAGATTTATATTTGACTTTCTCTCCAGGAGCTCAAGGCAGCTTACATGGGAACTTCTGTTCATTTATCTCTACAAAAAACATGTGGGGTAAAGTTAGACTGAGAGAAAACGATTTGTTCAGTCACTCAGTGACTTACTATTGCCGATGTTGGATTTGAACCTATTCAAACACCTTCATCCAGGGGTGTCAAACTGCCGGCCCGTGGGCCGGATGCATCATGCCGAAACCGTGCCCACCCCATTGCCAGCAATGGAAAAAAAGTTGTGATATGTCGCGACACGTCACGTGACGTTGCGAGTTTGACACCCCTGCCTTAATCACTACACCTCACTGGCTCTCAATTAAACTATGTGAGATACAGTATAAAGTAATACTTCATTTTATTGGTTTGAATATTCCTGCATTTAGGTTTAATGGATGATTATTGTTATAATTTAGTTTAATTATTAATGTAATACTGTGTGAGAGAGGGAGAAATGTCTGTTCACATTTTTCATACCAAGTGTGATTTTATATATATATGTCTCTCCTGTGCGCCAAGCTGAAAAACCTGCTTTAACCTGCTTGTTTTTGATAGTCCTCCTTTTTTGTATCTTTTCCTAGTTTGCAATATCTTATTCAGATGTGATTATCAGAGTATTCCTAATATAGCTTCATCACAGACTTATATATAAATCCACTGTACATTGGCAATGTTATTTTCAATCCCCTTAATGATTCCAAGCACAGGGCATACTTATTAGTAGCCCTCACATATTGGGTTATATTTTCATCCAGTTAGCCACCATAACATCATTCCTTTTCTGATCAGTCTTGTCAGCTCAGAACCTATTAATATATACGTGAAGATGCCAAGTACCCAAATTTTGATCACATGACCGTGAGGATGCTGTAACAGTCATAAGTGTGAAGATCAGTTGTAAGTCACTTTTTTCAGTGCTACTGTAACTTTGAACGGTCGCTAAATGAATGGATGGAATTCGAGGATTACTTGTAATTCATTCCTACTCTACCTCCTGCTCTTTATTCCATTACTAATTGGTGAGAGGCACATGACATGGATTTTGTAGTAATTTTAACTAACAGTTACTTTGTATTTTGACTTATTTTTCTCTTTTAAAATGATAAGGCTTTATTAAACCATTACAGACTGGAATGTAGGAAAACATTTTATCCTATTGCTGTATGGATTGACTGTTGAAGACAGGCACAGGCTGTTGGGGATGAGTCTGCGTTGTCTGCATCTCAAACTGAAGCACAAATGGTTCCTGCAGTCTTGCATTTTAGTTTGAGATGCAGACAACACAAACTCATCCCCAACAGCCTGCGCCTGTCTTCAACAGTGAAGGGACACAGGGCAGAAAACATCCTGTAGCCAAGAAGTTGCCAGACACATTTGCACTACTCAGGTGATCATGAGGACACAGATAAAACCTTCAAATGGCCTCAACAATTCTCTAAAAGAATGCAAATGACCACCTGTCTGCAAGGAATATAAATCCTTCCATTCCCCACCATCCAGTCAGAGCTGAAGAAGCTTCTTGGATGAGAAGCGAAACGTCTTCAAAGAAAAACAAGAAAGTCCAGTTGCCTCCTGAAAAAGCACCTTTGGGACAACCATGACCTGGATGACTGAGAATCTCCATAGACACCTCAATGAAAACCTGTTCCACAGCGCTTAGGACCTCAGACTGGGCCAAAGGTTCACTTTCCAACATGACAACGATACTAAGCACACAGCTAAGACAACACAGGAGTGGCTTACTCTGTGAATGTCCTAGAGCAGGGCTTTTCAACCTTTTCACCGATTATACCACTTTTAGAATATGGCAATATTTGAGTAACACCAGTCGCCTAGCAAGGTGTCAAAAACTTGATGACCCCCCCCAAAATGGAAAAAAGTGATAAAAGTACAGGTAGTCCTTGACTTACAACAGTTCGCTTAGTGACTGTTCAAAGTTACAACAGCACTGAAAAAAGTGACTTATGACCACTTTTCACACTTATGACCGTTACAGCATCCCCAGGGTCATGTGATTTACATTTGGATGCTTGGCAACCGATTCATATTTATGATGGTCACATTGTCCCAGGGTCATGTGACTGCCTTTTGCAACCTTCTGACAAGCAAAGTCAGTGGGGAAACCAGATTTACTTAACAACCAAGTTACTAATTTAACAACTGCAGTGATTCACTTAACAACTGTGGCAAGAAAAGTCATAAAACGGGGCAAAACTCATTTAACAAATTTCTTTTCCCCCTTTTATATCCTCTCTTTTCTCCCCCCTTTTATATCCTCTCTTTTCTCCCCCCTTTTATATCCTCTCTTCTCTCCCCCCCCTTTTCTCTTCCGTGCACCTCCAGCTGATTCCTCTCAAGGCAGCGCTTCTCTGTCTCTCTTTTGCAGTCCCCTTCTCTTTCCCCCATTCTTTTTTTTCTCTCCCTCTCCTGCCCAAACCTCCTTTTATAGCCTCTCCTCTCCCACCCCCTCCTTTTCTCTTCCGGGTACACCGGAAGCGCCGATCCTGGGGCTTCTGTCTCGCCCCTGCAACCCTGCAGAAGTGCACGTCGATCCTGGGCTTCTGCCCAGCCCCCATAGCCCTGGAGAAGTGCCGATCAGCTGTAGCTGCTCATGGCGATCCTGGGCTTTGCTCAGCCCCCATAGCCCTGGAGAAGCGCCGATCAGCTGTAGCTGCTTGCGGCGATCCTGGGCTTTGCTCAGCCCCCATAGCCCTGGAGAAGCGCTGATCAGCTCTAGCTGCTTGCGGCAATCCTGGGCTTTGCTCAGCCCTGACAGCCCTCCTTCAAACTGGGGCATTTCCAACCAAGTTGCCCTCCCTCCTTCCGTGACTCCTTCCTTCCTTCCTTCCTTCCTTCCTTCCTCCCTCCTTTTTTTTTAAACTGCCAGAGGCTCCGGGCAGAGGTGGCAACAGGCAGGCAGTGGTGGGCAAAGGCTTCCCCTCCCCCGTCATTGCCTCTGCGTGGCTCAGCTCAGCTCACCTCTCCCAGACCCGCACACGTGTTTGTGTGTGTGCGAGCACGCGGGTGGGATGTGTATGTGTGTCTCTCACCTCTTGCAACCCCGCGCCCTCAACAGAGACTTTCTGCGATGGCAGGCTGCAAAGTAATGAAAGCTGTTTTTTTGGAGTCCTTGTTTCTTTTTCTCAATGTGCCGCCAATCGCATCGCGCCCTGAGCCCCTCAGCTCCCACCCCCAGCCCCGTGGAAGGCTGCAAGAAGCTCCCATTGCAGCTTCTCTTACCTTTCCCGTTCTTTTCCTCCTCAATGTCACAGCATGGGCTGCAAGAGGTGAGACCCCCCCACACACGGGCGCACACACACACACACAAACAAACACATGCACGGGTCTGGGAGAGGTGAGCTGAGAGCCACGTAGAGGCCCTTCAGGCAGAGGCAACGATGGGGGGGGTGTGAAAGGGTCAAAATGGGAAGCCTCCTGCCCGGAGCCTCTGGCAGCTTAAAAAAACGAACCTGCAAAGCGCTCAGAAGGCAGTCTCTTTCCCAGCTCGCTCCTTCCTTCCTTCCTTCCTTCCTTCCTTCCTTCCTTCCTTCCTTCCCTTCCTTCCTCCCCTGCTTCTCTTTCCTTCCTCCGTGCTCAGGAAGGGATGACAGGAGGGGGAGAGATTGCCTGCGCTGCCACCAGCCATGCTGCCGCCGGCCATAGCCGTCCCACGCAGGCAGGGGCTTTCCTGATGAAAGGGAGGCCTGGTGGCTTCAAGGCGAGGTCAGCGAGCAGGCATGGCGCTGATCTACCAGTGGGGGCCATCAAAGCTGGAACGCGCTCAGCCTTAGATCCACGGGGAGCCCTGGAGCCAGCGAGCCCCCCTCCCGTCTCTGCCCCGTCTCTGCCCCTGGGGGTGCATGGAGAAGGCAGCAAGCATACGAGTGCTGGTGTCCCGGGGGAAAGGGAAGCGCTTCTCCTACCTTTTTCCTTTATCAGTGGTCAGCAGGGACAGTCAGCAGCGATGCTAGGCGCTCACCGCCTCCTCTTCGCTCGCCCACGGGGTGGGCCGGGGCAGCCCCTCTCTGGCCCTTTCCGACCAAAGCCACCTCCTTTTATATCCTCTCCTCTCCTGGAAGCGCTGATCAGCTGGAGCCCAGCGCTGATCCTGGCGCCTCTGCAGAGCCCTGACAGCCCTGCAGCTCCAGCTGTCTCTCCCTTGGGCTTGTGCTGCGCTGCCGCCACTTCAACTCATTCCTCTCCACCCTACCACTTCGCGTACCACCTGCCAGGTAGCAAAGTACCACTGGTGGTACGCGTACCATCGGTTGAAAAGCCCTGTCCTAGAGTGGCTCAGTCAGAGCCCTGACTTGAACCCTATTAAACATCTCTGGAGGGACCTGAAAATGGCTGACCACCAACGGTCTCCATCCAACCTGACTGAGCTTGAGAGGATTTGCAAGGAAGAATGGCAGAAAATCCCCCAATCCAGGTGTGCAAAGCTTGTCGCGTCATATCCCCAAAGACTCAAGTCTGTAATTGCTGCCAAAGGTGCTTCAACAAAGTACTGAGTGAAGGGTCTGAATACTTATACCAATGTGATATCTCAGTTTTTTCTTTATAATACATTTACAGACATTTCTAAAATTCTGTTTTCACTTTGTCATTATGGGGTACTGAGTGTAGATTAATGAGAAAAAAAATGAATTTCAACAACTGTAGAATCAGGCTGCAGCATAACAAAATTGACAAAAGTGAAGGGGGTCTGAATACTTTCTGAATGCACTGTATTCTTTTATCCTGCTAAGTTTGTTTAGCAACCTTTGAAGAGTGTTTTGGACTTTCAAAATAACTATTGATAACCTTAGATATATATATTTGTCATCCACAAGGTGAGTCAATGACCGCACACAACCAGCACAAGAAGTCCCATTACCGGGAAAATGTGTGCCACATTTAAGGGGAATAAAAGTAAAATGTATCTGACTACAGGTAGGCCTCAAGTTACAACTATTCATTCAGCAACTGTTCAAAGCTACAACGGTACTGAACGAAGGGACTTACAACCAACACTTGGAAGTTCTGGCCCTTGCAACGCTCCCATGGTCACATGAACAAAATTTGGGCACTTCGCAACCAGCTTGCAGTTATGACCAATTGCAATCTCCTGTGGTCATGTGATCACCATTTGCAACATTCCCCGCCAGCTTCCCACAAGCAAAGTCAATAGGGAAGGCGTCAATGAGGATTGCAAGTCATTTGGGTGAATCCCCCCCGCCTTTCTTCACTTGCATGCACTGTGCTTTCGTTCCCCTCTTCTCTCACAAACACCCTGTGCCCTCTTTGCCTGGCCTTCCTGTGATCGCACCCACCCCACATCTTCCATGTCCTCCGTGCAGTTGCACAAACCCCACATCCCCTTTCCACAGCCTCCCTGCAATCGCACACATGCACTCCACACCCTCTTTCCATGGTTTCCCTGTGATTTCACACATGCATGCACCTCATGACCTCGTTTCCCACCCTTCCTGAGCTTGCGCCGCACCACAGCACCCTCCTCTCCCAATGCACATGTGGCCTCCCCCATCTCAGTGTGGCACCCTCATGCTGATTACCTGGGACTCACTCTACTTTCCACTTACCAACCTGTGCATCTTGGGTTATGACAACAACTAGAACTACCTGCACTGCAGTAGCTAAGCGATGCAGTCACCTGACATTGTGCTTTATGACCACATTGCTTAGCAATGGCAATCCCAGTCCCAATTACAGCCATAACTCCAGGACTACCTGTAAATATCTATAGCAGCTAGGCAAAATTGTTCAGTTATGCTACCTAAGAACTTTCATGTTACAAGGTTTATTTTATTTTTGTTTATTTGATTTACATCCCACCTTTCTTTCAGAACTTCAAGGCAGCATATATACCAAAACAAACAGATAGAGTAAGAGATGAAATTACACTTTTTACTGCTATAAACAAAATCAAGAATCTACTTCTTTAGATTTTCTTTCTTTTCTACAGTTTTGGCTTTTTTCCCTTTTTTCCCTTTATTCTAAATATTAGTTTCTGTTAGCTTTTCCCTTTCTTTATTAAAATCTTAATAAAGTTATATTTAAAAAAAGGAAATTATAACTTCATAGTGCATATTTTCAACACATTATTTTTTCTTACCTGCAGCTGCCATGTGCTCACTTGTCCTAATTGGCTGAAATCCAACAAAAGGTATCTGCATGGATAATATTAACCCAACAATATAGAAAGTGCTATATGCTGTGAATGAAAAAAAAAGCAAGTGTCAAATTACTATTTAAAAATGTTAACCATTTTTAAAATGGTATACTCATAGCTTCAGGATTTGTAGGAAAATTTGAAGGCCATTTCTGTAATACAGATTTTACAACACATATTGTCTGACATGTTGGAAGCTAACAGAGTAACAGATATAGAATGTAAAACAATTATTACAGATACAGCTTCCCAAATAATGTTTACCTGTATGACCCATTCATACAGAGATACCTATATCAGAAAGAATTTAAGGCTGAAAAGATGAAACAGATCCCCACAATTAGATACCATAACCAGCCTGTTATCAACCATGGTGTTCAGACAAATATATACACACACACTTATACTCTCTCTCTATATATAGAGTATATATATATTCAAACATACTGTATGTGTATGTATATACAGTATATAAGTACCGTGTTTCCCCCAAAATAAGACCTACCCCCCCAAATAAGCCCTAGCTTGTTTTTTGGAGCGAGCCTAATATAAGCTCTACCCCCAAAATAAGCCATAGTTTGGGGGCAAGGCACATGCCTAAAAATCAAGCTAGGGTGGGGATGTGGAACTACCCTAAGCGCCCCGCACCCACTTACCGTTGCAGCCAGGCCTCCCATGCCCCGACACCTGCCTTGCCAGCTCACTTCTTCTGTGGCCACTCGCCACCGCTCACGCATACTCGTCACCCCCGGGTTCCATTTTGCCATCAGGGGCCTTCAGGAAAGGCCTCTGCAGCTGAGAATGGAGCTCCGGATTGACACGTGCATCACCCCTGGGCTCCATTTCACCAACGGAGGCCTTCAGGAAATGCCTCTGCAGCCGAGTACCGAGCTCTGGATTGACGTGTCAATCCAGAGCTCAGTTCTCAGCTGCAGAGGCCTTTACAGCAAAATGGAGCGCACATCAATCCGGAGCTCCATTCTCAGCTGCAAAGGCCTTTCCTGAAGGCCCGACGGCAAAATGGAGGCCAGGGGTGATGCGTGCGCATGAATGGCGGCGAGCGGCCGCAGAAGTGGGCTGGCTGGGCGGGGCTGTTGGTGCCACCGCCACGAGGTGTGACCATGAAAAAGACATCCCCTGAAAATAAGAACTGGTGCCTCTTTTGGAGGCAAAAAAACAAAAAAACAAAAACCGGGTCTTATTTTCGGGGAAACACGGTATGTATGTATGTATGAAAATATGGCAATGTGTGAAAAGCTGACATTGTATAGAATGCCTAGGAAATCTATAGAATGTGTGATTTTTTAGGCAAAGTATGAAATGTCTTGTTATTTTAATATGCTATATACATTCCCTAGGCATTATGCAGAATGACAAGAACTATTTAGGCAAAGTATGAAAAGAGAGTCATGAAAAGATGTATATGAAAATGAAAGAAGAAATGCAAAATAAAGTAGAGGACATTCTTACTTAAAAAAAAAAAAGAGAAAAAGACCAGTATCGACCTACTTGTTGCAATAAAAAGACTAGAACAGCATTTTAGCAAGAGTATTTTATACTTTGCTGGTTTGCCTTTTGACATTGCATAGAATGCCTAGGAAACGTGTGAAATATTAAGCGTTTCATACTTGGATGTCCCATTTTTGGCATTCTATAGATTTCCTAGGCATTCTATAAAATGCCTAATTTCACACATTAAATGGTAACATATATAGGAATTATTATATTCCTGAAATGCCTACAATGTACTGTATAATAGTTATTTAATGCCCCATTTGTGCAGTGGATGTAAATAATTCTTAACTACACAAAAACAATTTGTAGGATGCAATGTTGATTGGAAAGACAGTTTTACTTCAAAGTCTACTTCTTTTTTTTAAAAAAGATATTTTATTGATTTTTTAACATAAACACCTTGATATTTGGTAAACAGCGTGTTGTCTGGGTTTATATTTACAAAGTAATCACTAACGGTTAGTTTCTATATTCCAAAATCCACATAATAGCTTTGCTTGATTTTCTCTTGTTCCAATAATATTCTCTTTGCAACCTTAAATTAATACAATTCTTATTAATTTTATAAATAACAATTAAATATAAAGATTTTTCTAAAATTTCTACCAATAATAATCACATCGATATCATGCTTCTTTTCTATCTGGTCATCTTGGTTGCCTCATCATAAATCCTGTTTACAATTCTTGTTTAATTTATTTTCCCTACAATGTTCAAAACATTTCTACTGGTTAAAATTTTCCCAGAATTAATTACCTTAAAGTATTTAAATCTATTTTCATGTCTTAAAAAAAAGTAAGAAAAAGACACAAAAGAAAAACATAGAAAAAGAAAAGATGTGAGACAGAAAAAGAAGAAAAGAAAAAATGAGAAAAAAATAAGAAAATATACTTAAAATATACTGGTCAAAAAAATAAAGGGAACATTTTACCATGGAACTGAAGGAGTTTGCGTTCCCTTTATTTTTGTGAGCAGTATACATATCCCTCTTGAACTAGTATACACTAATTTCCAATTTTTTTCTGTTCTCTTTACCCATAATTAAATCCAATCTAATCTTTTAACTCTATTCAAAACATTTTTTCCCATTTTTAGTTATCGATTGGAATTTTCTTAAAATCAATTACATTTAAATATCTAAAACATTTCCTTTATGTTAATCATCCCACACATTTTTATAGTTCTCATATCGAAAAACAAAAGAAAAAAAGAAAAAATACTGTCTTACTTGGAGGGTTCATCCCTCTTAAACTAAAATCTTTCTATTTCTTCAGCCATATTCAAACAAGTGTTTAATTTTTAAATATTCCCTCTGATACACCCCATCATCTAATTCCTCAATTCTGACTTTAGCCCTCTTCTTTTGCCAAGCATCTTTCCCAATCAATATATTCTGTTGCATCAAAGAGTCTTTCCATAATCTTGTAAATGTTGTTGTAGATATAGTAGGCAAATTAAACATCATGTCTTTGTAAAAATATTTTGCGCCTTCATATTCATTGAAGATTTCTCATCATCCCTTGTCTCCCCATTTCTTGTGGTACTCACAACAGCTCAGCAATCCATTTTGTCAAATCTTTTTCCTTATCCTCAAATTTACTTTGTGGTCTTAGAGTACAAGTTATCTTTTCCATGTTCAATGTTTCTTGTAAGTCCTTCTCCACTTGAGTCTCCACTAGCTTATATTCAGTTGTCTGCTTTACATGATGTCTTTTTTTTGTTTTCTGATCATTTGATTGTTGTGACGTTAAATTGAGAATGCATTCATTTAAATTTTCAAATTCATTTTTAATTTCCTCATGGTTTGAAGTTAATATCATTTGCATTTGTTGTAACAGAACATAAATTTCCTCCTGGTAAGTATTTATTTTTTCTTGATATGTTCTTTCTGCAGATCTCTGATGCTCCATAATGACCAAAAACCCTTTCTCTGCCAATCACTTTAAAGTCACAATTTAAAAAATATTTATAATCCAGGAAGGTAATTTTTTTCTAAGTTGTATAGTTCTCACTTTGTAGAAAGTCCACAATGTTTTCTTTTCTTTTGTTACAGCTGCTCTTTGTTTAATCAAAGCTGTGAAGGTCACGACAACAGGCTTTTCTTTCTGGGCTGTATATTTAGGGCAGTATTTTCAACCACCACTAGATGTCAGCACCGGTCCACCTTTCAATTTTCTGTATTTTTTCCCCATAAACTTAGTTCGCCGCTTCCATTTAGAGGAGGGTGGAACAAAGACCCCCCCTCACTTTCGGAGGATTTTTACTTCTGGGTTTTCTTTTTTTTCGTCAGGAAATCAGTCAGGTAGAAGAGAGAGAATCAATATTCTTACCCAGTTCAATCACGCTGTTTACGATCACGCTTAGTTTAGTGCTCTTTGGCATCGGCTGCATGTAGGCTGGGCTAGACTCACGAATGACGCTAGCCTTTCTTTTGTTGGTTTTTGGAGAGCTTTCCCCAGACGTCCTGGTCGACCACTGTCTCCCCAGGATCGTTGGGGCTTCCCTCCTTCCTTGCCACCTCTCCGGGGTGGCTTTGGGCCCATTTAGGGTCCCCAAACAGAGAAATCAGCCGTAGGGATTGGATTGTCTCGATCCCTCAGCTGTCACGCTAGCTGCGCAGAACCGGAAGCCTTCAAAGTCTACTTCTCTGCCACTGCTCCCTACCACAAGGAGGCAGGACCTATTAGACTGATCCATCCCAGCAACTGATAGACCTGAAAGGGTTCAGAGGGAGATGCGAGTTGTTCCTGAGGGTCTGTTACATGATCTGACAGAGACCTTAGTTGTTGCTTGGATTGAGAGGGTGGCTGTGGCCTTGGATTGGATTGTACCCCTGAGACCTCGCCCTTCCCGAGGACCCTGTTGCAGCCAACAGAAATCAAATGGGAGAAAAGACATCTAGAGCAGGGCTTTTCAACCAGTGGTACGCGTACCACTGGTGGTAAATTGGCACCTGGCAGGTGGTACGCGACCCTGCCTAGCCTGGACTAGTGTGTAGAGGGGGGAGGGAATGAGCTAAAGCAGCGTAGCACAGGAGTTGCCATGAGAGAGTCCTCAGGAGCTGCAGGGCTGCTGGGGTGAGACAAAGGCCCCAGGATTGGCACTTCCGGCTCACCCAGAAGAGGAAGGAGGAGAAGGGCGAAAACAGGAGAGGCTATAAAAGGAGGCAGTTTTGGCGGGAGAGGGAGAGAGAAAAAAGAGGCAGCCTTGCGAGGAGTAGTCAGCTGGAGCTGCACTGAAGGGAAAAGAAGGGGGGGAGAGAGGAGAGGAGATCAAACAGGTCGGCAGGGAGCTGATCTACAAATTCCTGGCAGCCATCCATGCTGGGCATGCACACAGGTGGCAGCTGGAGAGGGGTCACCCTCCACGAGGAATGAAGGCACCATCAGCTGGAGCTGAGGGAGGAAGGGAGGGAGGAAGGAGATGGGAATGAGAAAGAGGGAGGCAGGGAAGGATGCAGGGAGGGAAACAGGAAGGAAGGAAAAAAGGAAACAGAAAAGAGGGGAAGGAAGGAGATGGGAATGAGAAGCAGGGAGGGAGGGAGGGAGGAGATTGGAATGAGAGGGAGGGAGGGAGGCTCTGAGAGAAGTCCTACCTTAGCACTTGGCCACCAGCAGCTCTGCTGCCCTTTCACCATCCCCTTGCCCACTCCTCCTGGCCTCTCCTGGTGGTCTCCCATCCTATTGCTGAGGATGCTTTGGTTACAAAGCTGGGTCTCTTCGCATGGAGAGGCCCTCCCTCTGACCCATGCACTTTGCCCTCCTGCACCCACCATGAGCAACCTGGCCAAGGAGAGTGAGCACAGCAGCAGCCTCGAGGAGGTAAGCGTAGCCAGATGCCCCCTCGGGGAAGTGTGGCTGGACTGTCTCCTC